ATTTTACAAAACTTTCTTTTATTAATAAAAATGTTGATAGTGGAAACACGATTTTTTTTTTTTGTTCATCGACGTTTGATATTTTATTGAAATTTGTGGCCAATATTTGCTTACAAAATGCCCCTTTATCAACTGCAATAATTTAAAATATTTTTATATTCTGAGAAAATTAAGTTTCGGTTTACAAGACATTTCCAATTTGGTCACCAGAAACAGAATATTGTTCAAAAACATGGAAGACTCTATAAAATAAAATATACTAAGCTTAAAAAATTATATAAACAGGATGTCCCGTAAGCACACGATCAAACGGGTACTGCAATTTATTTTGTATCAATTGAAGACCATCTGACCTAACTTTTACCAAGAAAAAGTTTCTGGCTCCTCGGCTACTGATGGTAAAAGTTACTCAAAAAAATATTTTGTTGAAATATCGGGAGAATGGTACAATGGACTTTAATGAAAGTCGCTGTGAATTTGCTCTTGTAAGACTCATGTTTCGATAAATCAATCGAGTTCATACGCTTTGGGCAAGTGAGGAATTCTGGAGTAATTTGATACAAAAACCACCTGAAATTTTCGTAAATTAATGTTTGAAATAGTTAGATAGCAAGGAAACGGAAATAATCTATTTCGCTCTAAAGCTTTTCGCCACAAACATTTTGAAGCTACAAACATTGTGGAGAAAGGATTAGTGCAACAAAACTCAATAACAAATAGCAGTTGATTGCAGCTATGAAATAAAAAGTTCAGGTAGTTTTTTTACAAACACACTCAAAAATTCCTCACTTCCCCAAAGGGGATCAACTCATTTGCTCCATCAAAACATGAATCTTACAAAGAAACAAATTCACAGCGAATTTCACTAAAATCCATGGAATCATTCTCCGGATAATTCAAAAACGTAATTTTTTTAGAGAACTTGGACGATCAATAGCAGAAAAACCGGAGATTTTTTCATAATAAAAGTTCGGTCATATGGTCTTCATTTGAGCCAAATAATGTCACAGTGCTCTTTTCATCATGTGCTTACGAAACACCCTATATGTGTGTTCCATCACCTGTCTTCCACGAATTTTGGAATTGGCGGCTGTAATAATATAATATAACAAAAGAGAATGCTTAATTAGAATAATTTAAATCAATAAAATGAGGCCTTTCTCTCACGAGTGATTTAGTGACTTTGGCCTAGTCTGAGTTAGCTGTATTAACAGTATTCCAGTTCCTAAATTATACTTGATTGTCTCTTAAAAATCCAAAAAGACGGAAGACATTTATGCAGGCTATCGAATTTCACCTCCCTGCTCACACACAATTCTTAGGACACAAGGTGAGAAAGATTCATTGGTCACCAAGCTTAGCTTTAAAACTTATTCTATGAAACAAATGAAATTATTCATATGCATAAAAGCCGTAAAGCCCTTATATTAGAGCAACGAAAAAACTAAAAAATCTAAATAATTTCGAAGGTTTGAACATACAAATTATCGAAACCTTAATGTGACAAATTGAACAACGTTCAAACGAACAAGATTTAGAAAACTAATTTTCTAAATTACGCTAGGCTCTCACGTAAAATATTTTATATGATTTTGCTCGTTTGAACATTGCATTTCTCCATAAATATTCCTTTCTGGCAGAATCACTCTCTAAGCAGCTTAGTTGTGGCCTAGAAAATATTTAATTACTTAATGTCGAAGAGTAATAAAGAACTTTTTGGCTTCCTATTGGATTTTCGAATTAGGGCTGCCAGAGGTTTCTAAATATAAAACCCGCTTACGCTCAATCCGATTGTTCCCTGTTTTTTTCAATTTTATTTGTGAACTTGAATAAGATAATTAAGTACCGTATTTCGCAATTTGACAGCATTTATATTTTGCTACGTTTTAAAATTTCGCTTTGTTCTTTGAATCATTTACTGCAGGGACTTTTCACTAGTACACAAATATGTCGAACTAAAATGTACAGAGATTAAAAACAGCAAATTTTAGCCGCTAATTATTTTCTTTAGGAACTAGATTTTGTTTGTTGGATGGTTTAATGTAGTTCGAAGCATTTCGCTATTAAAGACCCGGAATTAATGCAGTCCCGGCTTGGAATTTGACAAAATTCAGGTACTGTTTACTTCAATATCACCCACGATTTGTTAGTGGCAAATAACTAAATACTATTCATTAATTAAATTAATTTATAGGAAGCGTATATATTGAAATTGATAATTTCACCGATATTGCTAAAATAGATTACTGCAAATAGACTTTAGGATTTTAAATTACATCACCATCAACAGACAATATTATATAAATTGTTTTTTATTCAATCCCTGGGATAATTAGTCAACATTTAGCATTATTGAATATATTATATTTTACTGTATCCACACAGGAAATAATTCCAATCAATTCACTGGAATTTTTTTTAGTTTTTTGGAAGCCAGGGTACTTAGTTATTTAGTTTAAATTTAATTAAAAGTACTCCATCGGTACCTTTGTTTGTAAAATGTATAGCCATATCTAAAATACGTATTTGGAAGCAAAAATATTATGATGAATTTTTGATGTTAGGTGTGCAGTTAATTGTTTTTGTTATATACTAAGTTTTTAGAAATTTGCTGGACTGTAAAATATTGTGTATTATCAACACTGTGTTCTTTCTATAAGCATTTTATCTGCAATTCATGGTGCATAAAATAGAAGGAAACTTTTTGTTTTCGTTTTCGCCAAATGGGTGATTCTCAGGAGGATAATGACAATATATTAACTGATGAAAAATAGCTAAAAGGCACGTTTATGAGATCTGTTTCATGATTTTAGACACAAACAATATTCCAAATTGCTTCTAAAAATTCGGACCCTAAATGGGGCAAACTGTTAAAAGGCACTGATAGGGATTTCCGACATCATATAAACCTAAATATCTGGCAAATAAAGGATAATATCTAATAATTCCAGCGCGTATGAGAGACTGACACCCACAGTAATTAGAAATAACCTCGGAAATAACCCTTTATTTGCCAGATGTTGAAGACGGCAACCATGTGGCTCTAAACAGTTTGCCTTAGTTTGAGCCATATTTTCGAGAGGTAGTTTGGAGTATTTTTGATGTCCGAAATTGAAACAACCGGTAAAAATATGGGGCATTTACCACGATTTATAATCACATTATAATGGTGGACTTCAACTTTGTTGATTTTAAATAGGTATACACATCTGAATTAAGCGGTGCCTATGCACGCGTTATGATATTATTCGCAGTTGTAGAAGAAAACAGCATTTTATTAACTCATAACTTAATTTTTTATGTTCTCATTGTCAAGTTGCAAATATATCAGAAAACGGTTTCTTCAAATAATTTTCTTGCTAAATTGCCTTGACCTGTTTCTTTTACTGAACGCGTCAAAACGTTTTAATATTAATAATTTCAGTTGGTTCACCAGAACAGAGCTAACTTTTGCGGTTCGCAGTTCACACATTTCGAATAAAAAGCACTCATTACGGCATATACCCGAGTAACTCTTAACAAAATGTAAAACTTTTTACCGACATGCAACATTAATATTAATTAGGTTTGACATACATTAAAATGCTTTATATTACAGCGGAACGAACTCTGTGGGAGCAATTAGAACGATAAATATTAAATAAAATTTAACGGCCTGGAAATATTTTAAAACTCGTTCAATGTAGTTAGTCTGCATTGAACGATTTAGCATTGTTTGAACCGTCAATAAAAATGTTTCTAAGTAATTGTTCTATATTCAAGGAAATGTTGCACTAATATGATGTTCTTAGGTATAAAATGTTCGGAATAAAATTGGGGAACTAACGCCACTCAATCGAACTAGCGACGGTTGATTTAAATAAAAATGTACGCTCAATTTCGAATGAGAATTGGAAATATTTATTTAAATCACGATTGTAAATGAATCTTTTATTAAATGAGAAGACTGAAACAATAGAGCTTTCAATATGCTTTATGCAATATGCAATTTATGCAATATGCGTCCGTTAAGGACGACATGCACAAAAGAGGCTGCTGTTACAATTCAGCTAAACGTAGAGCGTAGTGGCAATTATAGGGAGTCTAAATGCATGGAAATATGAAGATGACGAGTATCGATCGGCTGAAGTATTAACTGGAAAGATTTCAATGCAATTATAAAGTTGCCTTTTGTAAATCGACATTGAGGAACTATTCGCAATATCATTTCTGTTGCAATCAGTGAAAACTTTTGTTCGAAAACTATCTTTAAAGTAAGTTGCCAACAAGGATGGAGTTCATGTAATACTATTCCGTGAATTTGATAACTTGATATTCTGACAAAATAATAATGTTTGTGAATTATAACTTCTGATATTAGAAATACCGACAAAAATTGTTTAAGGTATGTTAGGCGTTGCAATTCAGATCGCCATTTACGGCTATACTAATGTCGCAACAGATTATGCCTATTTAAATGATGACAAATGTAATTTTGTTACATAATTAGATACGATTTGTCAAGCTTTTTTCAGACCTGGATGTTGGACTCAAGCTCTGTTTGCTTACTTGCTTTTAGCCGCTTGTTAGATTACTACATTTTAAAAAATGGTGTAATACACTTTAGCATGAATTTGATTTACGCTACTCTTCTAGAAAATAAGTTTAGCATCCAGAGTTTTCATAAATACGCGTCACATTCCGCAAACGAAACCGAAGTTAAAACTTAAGATAAAATGGCAACTCAAGTTTAAAGCGCATAAAACAAAATTTAAATCGACACTAACTTTTATTCCGGTTATTTTCAAAGAGAGTATGTCTCAACGTTATTTTTTGTATTAAGCTCGTACTCACTTACTGCTTTTATATGACTTGGAAAGATCAATGTAGGTAATCGAATGAAAAACGTTGTACTTCGTAAACTTTCAGTTTCGGCTCGTATGCAAAGAACGCAGCGAAATATAATGCACTTGACGAATTCGTATACACAAAAGCTGCACCTACTGTTAAAAAGAACTTACCGTATTCATTTCCTTGGAAATTCCAATAGGTTTCGGGATCTGAAACAAATTGTTTGCTTGAAATATCGTAATTTTTATTGATACATGAGCTTGATAATTCGTTTAAAATGTAATAGAAACCTGAAGACGAAAGATTTATTAGAAAAACATTTTTTGCGGTTCTGTAAATAGACTACAAATGGCACAGCTTTAGTCTCAGTTCACTTCAAATTCCTAATCTGATACGATTAATGGACGCATATTCTTTACTAGCTTCAAACGGTATGAAATTTTCGAAACTACGAGGAAAATTATTTAAACGATAATATGTTATATTCGAATTCAAGATGATCGATCAATCGCAAATCAAGATGAAAGACTGCCTGGATACAGCACTTATTTTTTTGTTTTCTTATAGTTTGCAGCCTAATTCTGACGATTATTACCATGTTTTATAATTAATTCGAAGCGTAACAGAAATGTGAAACGAATGATGTAGAAAACAGCTATACAGTACTAGATATTTCAACCTCCAAAATAGTAATTTTCCTCGAAATCGAGTCGGCGACATATCCGCAAGAAGGATCCTAAATCTGTACATTATGAACGGATATGGAGTTTTCGATATAGTGTGCTCTATATTTGTTGTAAAACGAGTGTTGATTAGCAGCGATAGCAGAACGCCTCAAAATATCAACATGCAATATTTCTCTTTAGAGACAAAATGAGCATTTTCAATTATTTCTTTAAAAAAGTTACGCAATGATAGAAGTGAAGGTAATGAAAATAGAACTCACGAAAGTTTCAACTCTAACTTTAGAATGAAAATGGCGGATATAGAATCTCTCGGCATTCGCAAAATAAACGCTAGGATATGTAAATCTTAGTTTAACTATGAGGATTTTATTGCTGCTGAGAGTAAATAATTTTCTTATGGTATTCGGCAACTGTCCCACATATTCGAAACCTTAAAACTTATCACTTAGCAAAATTACATTGGGGAATTTGAGCAGGGTCGATCTTCCCTTAAATAAACTAGAAAATATGGTAATAAATAATAGAATTTCGCATTTCTATAGTAAATTCATGGAGCGATTAGAGAACGAATTGAAGAATTATAATGAATGAAACATAAACTTTGATATACCTATCACAAACATGTTTTAACGATGTAGCAAATATGTTTTGAGGGATGATTCTAACATCACTGTTCCTCTAATTATAGAACTTAATACATATTTTCAAAATGCATAAATTTCTGCATTATTAAACATCAATTAATATCATTATTTTTAACTTTATAAAATATAGGCAAACCTTGATACTTCTGTAGAAAGCAGAACAAAATAAAGTTTAAGATTACTTAAACACCTTGTTAGAACTTGTCAATGTCGAGCAGTAAGAAAAATTAAGAAGCTCAATAGAATACAATAAGAGTCAACAATAAATCTATTATAGTAACAATTAAATCCCATTAGGAGAAACGGAGTAAAATAAAAAATCTCTGTTTGAAGCAACAAATATCATAATTTATATTTATATACAATTCTATCAATAGAAATGAAATTATAACAAAACGTATTTTGAAGATATTCGATGTATACCTGCGTAATGTTCCACAATAAACATGAAATCCAAAGCTATCGAGGTGTGCGGTTGTGATTTATATAAACAATAATTATTATATAACAACAAAGTTGTTTAAGTGAGTCTACTAGTTTTGATAGGTAAATTATGTATCCAAGAAAAACAGTTCAATATTGAATTTCTAGAATCTCCCCTGTTAAAGCAAACATAGTTAAGGTTAACAGAATATTAAACCAAACATGTAGTTTAAGCCGTCCATTGTGAAAGCAAGTTAATAAATAATATAGACATCCTAGTTATCTTACCATTAACCGCAGGGCACTCATATTAGCTAAATAATTAATTATGTTTTATATAATAATTTTAGGTGTGATTACATAGTCCATACATGGTTATGGATATTTGAAAATATTATCTTTTATAATACTGAGTAGGCTACGCCTCTTGGAACTTGATATGAAGAATGGCTCGCCAACAGTTTTTCCTTCGAATGTCCTCAAAGGGAAAAAAACAATAAACTTCCTTGGAACGACACGTGTTATTCATTAAGACAGATCAAAATACATTGAAGGTATCTGAACTGGGAAACTCAAACAATTATTTCCAGGAAATTTCAAATACCTTCTTTAGCAATCTCGCAAAGTGTGTTTCGGGGCATTTAAATAAAATTCGAAATATTATTACTCTCTCTATATGAACGGTACTTTAAAGCTTCCGCCTCCAACACGTTTTTTTTCGTTCTCGTGACACTCGTGAGTATTAATATCTAAAAAGGCAGTTTATTTTGTTTTTATTTCCTTAATAATACAAGTAATCCAAAGCGAAATTTCACCACCCTAAAATGCAGAATAAACTGGAAGTTTATTTAGGAAGTAACGTCTAAATTTTTCATGATAATATCATGAAAGAGTTAGCCGACGACGGAAAAGTGACGGTATCTGAACGTCTAAGTTTACTTTAAAGAGCTCAAAGAAAACGTGTTGTTTATGACTTTATGTTTTTCACAACATTCTCCGAACCTCAGTTTAGACAATTAGTGTGACATTTTTTAATTCAATAACAATATCATCGAGTTACAGTTTAGAGATGTACCTACTGCTTGATCAATTTCAACTATCTGAGACCTTCCACCTTAGAAGATTTTCAACTTCAATTTAAGATATTAACAGTCGTGTAAAAACAATCGTCATAAAACAAAAGAGTGAAATGTGCCTCTCGTAAATAAAGGCCCTCCTAATAGCAGGCTCCCAGGAGTAATTTTACTAAGTGATAAGTTGGAATAGGATCCTCAATTTCCAACTCATCATAAAAGCAGGAAGTTTTGACTTTTGACCCATTTCAGGTAAGAAAGAAGGTCAATAGTGCAAGAGTATAACGACAGTAACATTGAACATTGTTACTATCTGGGTTGAAATCAAACCCTTTGAAAAAGAACCTGTACTGGACCGTTTATATTTTGTTGCATATAATGATGCAAAGCAACATTTTATTTGAAAGCTGGGTATATGGTAACAAATAGTAATCACCAGAGACATTTATTACGTTTTCAAATTCTAACATATCTTTAAAAAAATTGACTTGCTCTGCCATTTTCATTTTGACCATTGTCTCAAATCTCGTTTCCAATTATAATTTTATAATAATTATTAATGTCAGAACCAAGTTTAATTTTATTTGAAAATTTACCTAGAAGTTTATCCAAAAGTTGAACAGTGTGATTAATCTACAAAGCGTATTCGCTAATTTGCCAGTTAAAACCGATAATCAAACAATGCAGTTGTAGTATTGATTAGAGATAAATAATTATGGATACAGAAAAAAAAATATTAAACGTTAATAATTCGGTTTATATGGCGGTTGATTATCATGGTAGCGCGTATGTTATAATAAAGAAGAATTAAATTAAATCAGTCAATCAAAATGGTGTAGTAAAGAGTAAAAAGTCATACGATGAAATACGTAATAAATTGTGTTTACAAGGCAAGGCAAAATGAAAAATATTACAATATATTGCCAGGAAAAGCGGAAAAGGTGTTCAGTATTTAAATTCGAATATACGCCATATCGAAAATATCAGATAAACGGTCTGGAACCAAAATTGTGAAATTTATGTTAATGCATGTAACAGCATTTAGGTTGTTTTAACTGCACGTGACTGAAACAGATCGCACAACAGGCGTCGAATTTATTTTAACATAATTTACAAGTTCAATTTTCTCGAAATGAAGCGAAATTATTTCCGCACCAGCGTTTAATTTGCAATTTATTCTTCTAAAATAAAATTAACGACCCTAGTTGACCTAAAACTTTTATAGGATAAAGAAAAAAGCAGATGCTGCATTATTGATTTTATTCCTAGTGGTACTTTATTATTTTTCCTTTATGCGATGTGCCAAATTCACACCTCCAAAATTCGTTCTTCAACACCCTTTTATGACCTATAAAATATTACGAAAATTTTTGGGAAGTTTTTTTTCACATATTCCTAATTAAATATATTCAAGCGTAGCCTAGCAGTAAGGTCGTATACATTAAAGCTGCCAGCCGTCGTGCAAATCGCACATTAAAGAGCATTTTTCTTCAAAATACTTTCAAATCATAGCCAACTGGGCTAATATTGGCATAATTATGCACTTGATTTTTACGACATTCAGTCTATTACTTTCCTTAATTATAACTACCAACAGTGCAGTGAAACGTTCCAGGAATAAATAAAAAGCAAAACTGTTTAAAACATTTTCCTAAAAGTAGATTGAGTTAGTTTGCTTGCATTTGGCGGAGTGCAAAGCGAGTTAAACATTTGATAAACTTTTTTAACTAGTTTGTCTTGCGTCTGAAAATCTGCATTTTCTCAGGACGTATAAATTGTTTGCTTCGAAATCAGACATATAAAAGCAATCAGACGTATTTATTTAATTTGCAAATTCATTTATATTTGTCACCAATGGGTCGACGTATGCATTCTGCACATGATATTCATACAAAAATGTCCAAATTACGGCTGTGGCTTTTGCGCTAAATTGTCTGGAATATTCACATATTTCAATTAATATCCTACTATAATTTTTTTGCATTTAAGGTGTGTATACATTGTCTGCTGCTGTAAATGAGTTGATATGAACTAAGTTGTTTTGAAGCCGAAAATAATAATAAAGAATAACAGAAGAGCATAAATATTATAAAGAGTTGATACGAGGTAAACAAAATATGAATAAGAGACTAATCTTTGCAGGGAGCAAGATAGACTAATCAATAACATTCTATGAATTCTATGACCTGGTGTAAATATCCAAACAACTCTTGGGGTTATACTCTTATATTACAAACAGCTATACGCTCTCACTATAAAATGGATTTGCCAATACATATATTATTGCTCTGCATCATAATTTACGGCGAACATTAGAAAACAACATTCCTTAAAAACTTGATCAAAATGCGTTTCAACAAACACACATTTTATATCGAGAAAT